GGATCAGAACCAGGAGGAGGAAGGTTCTGGTTCCACTGGATCTGGTTACAACAAATACTTTATTGATGAAGTGGTTTTGATGTAGTATTCTGGTTCGGTCAGTTTCTCTGATGGACTCATGATCTGATGGTTCCGTCTCTTTCTGCAGGTTTTGGTTTCATCATATGTTGATTCAAAAACAAACTTAAAAACGAGGTTTCATCAGAACCAGCCTTGACTGCAGCGTTAGTCTTATCGCAGCCACAGTTGCTGTTAACAGCCGTCGGTTCTGTCGGCTTGATGAAGGCGTTGGTTCTGCTGATTGTTCCTCCCACTGTGCTCATCGGACCGGTTGATTTTTTTAGTAGTGAACTGCTGTTTTATGTCCAGACCAGCGATGGATCTGCAGAACCAAGGAGCCCGTTTAGACGGCTCCATGTTCAAGTCTGTCCAAATACTCTTTTCACGATTCCAAATCAGATCAAACCGCTTTACCTGATCAAAAATATTACAAAAGAAGAGTGGGATAATAGGCCCACAGGACCACCAGAACCAGAATATAAAATACACAATATATGGAATAATTCAGACTGTGATCCGGCTGCTGGTTCCAGGATTAACGGTTAAAGTCAGCCTTCATCGTTTCCAACTTTGCCTGGCTGAGCAGCTGAAAGTTTAAACAGAGGATGAAGTGTGGTGGTGCCGCCTCCTCTGTGTCCTCCTTCCTCCTCTCCGGCTCCAGGTCCATTAGCTAGCAGCAGGGAGAGGCTGCCCTCTAAATGGATTCTGCAGGCAGAAAACACAACCAGGCTTTTACCTCCTCCCCCGCCTCCCCCTCTGCTCTCAGCCTCTCTTTCTGGGAGGGTTTCCTGTTCGCTGTCCTCCTCTTTCTGCTCCGTACTGTATGAAAACACGGCGCTGCTCCATCATGCATGATGGAGCCAAATATAGAACCACATGTTCTGGTGTTGCAGCCGGTTCAGGACGTTACAGCCTCAGCGCTGTTCGTCCACAGGGTCACGATTAGACGGTTAATTACCATTAATTATTTAACCGATCAGAGACATATTAACCAGTGAGGCAGACCAGCTGCAGTACCTGGTTGTTCCACCAGGTGGAGCCTCTCTGTTTAATCCTGTAGAGACCAGAGGAGGCGTCTACAGACTGCAGCTCATGGTGGCAGCAGAGAGCATTGTGGGAGTTTAGCAGCAACGGGACCATGACAGAGACTCTGAGGAGGTTCAGGACCTCCAAGCAGAGCTCATGTTAATAAAACAATGTCAGGAATAAACGAGCCGCTAGCGCTGCTAACACTACTAATGCTGCTAACGCTACTAATTCTGCTAACGCTACTAGCGCTGCTAACGCTACTAATGCTGCTAACGCTACTAACGCTGCTAACGCTACTAATGCTGCTAACGCGACTAACGCTGCTAACGCGACTAGCGCTGCTAACGCGACTAGCGCTGCTAACGCTACATGTCCACAGTTCAAATGGTTTCATCAGCATGTCTCCTGAATGTCGTTGTTTGCTGGTTTATTCACTGATAACGGTTCATCTGTGTGGACGAGGCACAGATCACGTGATTAAAGCTCCTCGGCTCATTGTGACGCGACACAGCGCCCTCTGGTGCTGCCACGACGCGACTCATCGAGCTTCCTTCTACAAGATAAAGTGTTTTACTTTGCTGCTTCTGTTTCCAATCAAACCTCCGACAAGGTCGTGTTGCTCCATCGCAGGAGAATCACAGACGTGCAGCCGACTGCCGTCATCGTCACCACATGAACACGTTAGCAAAGATATTAGACAAACGTGGAGTTTACTGTGATCTGGAATTCTGATCATTTCTGCTTTCAGAGTAACGAGTTAGTGATAAATGTCATCTGATAATTAACAAAATCATGCAACAGCAACAACTAAGGCAAGATGGACACAAAGAGACACAAAACAACCACAAAGAGACACAAAGAGACACAAAACA